CCCTCTTAATAGACCTCTGCTCTAGTCATGCACACACACATGCGCTTATGCAAACACTTCCACACATATACTCCATATACTGGTCGGTAGATGCGCACATACAGCACTCCTCGGAGGCCCTTGTCTCTGCGTTGAGTTTCAGTTTTTGTACCGCAGAGGAAGCCAACAGTTTCTCCCTAAACGGTGGTGTTCTTCCTAACTTCTCTGTCTCCCTCTTTACCCTACTTCTCTGTCCCTTACTCTTTCATCCTCCCTCCATCACTTTACCACTCACTTGAGACACCTGCGCTGCAAATCCGTTCTTTTGTATCGCTCAGTCTCAATCATATCTCGCATCTTTTTTCCTCGATAACAGGCAATCCCCCCAGCTGGCGTTTTCACAATACCGGCTGCACGCCTCAGATTGCTACAGCCCATATCACATTGCAATATGTAATCTCCCTTTGCATGTGAAGCCAGTTTTTGTGGGGTTCTCTGACCCCCCCCCCCAACAGTATCCATTTTGTTTTCTCTTAGTCTAGAAAAGGATATTCAGCTCCTTATAATGCTCATGCTAGATGATCACGATTTGGATGCAGCTGTTTGTAAACCCCCCCACCCGCCTCCAGGCTCTGTCAGCCCCCTCCATCATAGCTTCTAAAACCCCCCTCATTTCCCAGCAGTTCACTGCTGAACCAAGATGGCTGCCTTCCAACTCAATTTGCGGTCAGCGAAGGGGCTATTTGCATGAACATGTGTCCCATCGTTTAGCTGATATCCCACTGTGACAATCTCACTGAGAGGAGTGAAATCATGCATACATTAGCGTCCATGTCTCTCTTTGGTCCAATTCATCTTTCCAGCGTTGATGTTTTGCAATATTTTTTTTCCCCACCTCCAATGTGCTACTTAAGTATTACGTGAAGCAACGGAGACCTCTTAACTCTGCAAGATAAAAGGCAGGGATGTAATAGATTGCAACAAGCGGTAAACACGTATGAGAGAGAACAGTGGTGACATCATGTGAAAATTAAAGTGACACTTGGGAAGACACATTTTAAGGATGAGCTAAAAGAAAGGTGATCAGCATGGCCCTTTATTAGAATCTGAAAAGATTTAGAGTGCGTGCGTGCACACATCTATGACCATGCAGAGATGAATCCACCTGTTGTGACTTGCAGAAAATGAACAACGGACGCCTGTTCTTTGTGTGTATGTGGGTGGTTGGTAGAAATGTTAAATGGATGTAATAGCAGAACCAGGTGATGTTGCTGCTGAGAGCTAGTTGTAAGACAAGGCTCATTACTCAAAACTATATTACTTGTTTCATACATAATTCTCATACGTTGGTTATTAGTCCCTCTGAGGCTCCATTTGCTATTATTCATTGCAGTACTTTATTAAAAATCTTCAAACATTCTGCCTCCTCTTACTTGAAAATACCATAGAAATAATCCGACCAGGTTATTCTATCAAAAATCATCAAACATGCTTTATTTCTTTGATGATTTGATCATTCAAAGCTCCTGGAAGCTGTTTGAGTTGATTTTGGGGGCCCCTTTGGATAAAGCTGTATGCATTTTCTATTTGCTGTACTTGTTTTGTAAATGTGTACCGTAAGTGTGATTTTTGATTTCTTTTATTAGTAAAACGTATCACTCAGCGCTAATCTCTGCTTTGGTAAATACAAATGGGCTATTTATGTAACTGCCTCCATCTGACACCTGCTCTGCCGCAGCGGGTTAGAATGATTGTTTAGAAGATGTCTATTTTGTCTATGATGGCCTTGTTTGCTTATAGGTTACCTAAAGGCATCACAATAAATGTCATGTTTTTTTCTCACAGGAGCTTTTAACTGAAGTAGTCCTGAGTGATAGAAAACATGTCATTTTAATAGTTATGGAGGGAAAAAGCTAGACAACAAAAAGTATTTTTATTTATTTTTTAAATTAACATTGGCACATTTGCAATGCACTTTTCTTTAACCTTTACCCCCAAAAACACTACCAATATTTATCATGATTCACCATTCTGAATTTACAATCGAGCCAGCGTATATTTTATTTTGAAAAACAAACTTAACAAAGTCACCTGTGAAGGTGTCCTGTGTTCATACCTCATACGGGACAGGAGCACTACCTGACAGCGCACAGTGAGACTGTAGACAGCTGCTGCAAGTCTAGACCTCGGGTGTTCACGTTTGAAGACATGCATCTCGAAAGTCTGGAGTTTCTAGAGGTGACTAATTATTATTTATTTTAGGTACAAAGAACTTAATGTTTTGATAAGAAAGTAGATACCGACTACTGCTGCCAAGCCCCATGAGGGTAGCCTAATAATGCAGCAAATGACGCTATAGTTGCCTTGAGTTTGTTCCTTTTGTTCGGGAACTGCAGTGACACTGTTGTCTTTTTAACTCTTAAGAAATGGAAAAGCATGACGTCGTGATATCTGACCGGACAGCGTCACGTAGCACGTGTCTTGTGAAGTGATTAATGTCAATTAGTTACACCTGGTGAAATATTGCAGGGCTATTCTAAGCATCAGAATGACGTGTGGAAAGCCTAAACAGCAGAAATAACGTTACAGTCTTAGTTAAATGTATACTGGGTTCAGTTGTCATTAAACTTTATGTTGCATTCAGGTTGAATTAGCCTATGGCTTTGACTTTATCGACCGTTTCATTTTCACTGCCAACCTGCGTCATTTAATATGCAGGAATTATTCGGTCAAGTCTCAAATAATGACTAGCCTACTAGCAAACAGAGAGGGAGAAGGTGTGGAGAAAATTGCCGTGTAAAATAAATTCACCCTGATATTGTTTAGCCTGAACAATATAGCCTTCCACTTCAACAGGTTAAAGAACATATTTTGTATTTTATGGAAAGGAAATGTAGCATTTTGACGTGTGTCACTTGTTTTATTCAGCTCTAAGGAAGAGAGTTGTTGTACTTTATATGTATTTACTTTTAATTGAATATTGAAAATAAACTGTATCTTATACTACGTATTATAGTACCTTTTTGCAGAAAAGACAGCAACTTTAGTGCAACTGAAATGCAGTAATTTGTATGACAAAGCTCAAAAACAACACCTCTGCCTAACAATAATAAAAAAAACAAAACAGCTAAAATATCATGCACTATAACATTTTACTTTGAAAGCCATTTTTTTTGCATGTGTTTATCTTGCATGCCCCCTGGCTACGATATTTTAGGTGGTGTTTTGCAACATGGTCTGGGGCTGTGTTTGTCATGGGCAGCTAGGGAACCTGGTCACAACATTTAAGATTATGCATGCATGACCAAGCTGTGTTTGTGCTGCGTTATGGATACTTGAACATGTGTCCTCACCTGTGCTTGAGCCATTGATATATTTTTATTTATTTTGGTGTTTAAAACCCATGACAGTGACAAATTTAAGAAAATCTCCACATTGCATTTAATATTCAATTTGTCATATTCAATTATATGTTTATAATCAAGCAATTACTGAATATTGGTGTTAGATCTTTTGTGTTATTTCATAAATAGTGAAGCTGTATGTTCCTTTATCGACTCTACCATATTATTTAAAGATGTGGTTGCAGTAGTTTGGATTGACCTTGTGCATCCTGGACAAAATCATGCACAATTTACTTAAATGATTATCTGACAAAGGTTAGTGTTATAAAATAAATGTCATTTTTTTGTTTCCAAACCTGAAGGAATGTCTACAGATGTTTTTTTTTTTTTTTTATTCCTGTCATAGTTCGCCTGCTTGGGAATCATTACAGATAAGAACAGCGCTTTCATTCTGGTAAATCTCAGAAGAGCTCAGTGAAGGTTTATTCAAAGGCTTCAGAGGTTTTTACTTTTACATCTCAAAGAAGGATGGAATATGTTCCAAGGACCACTGATCATTTAAAGCATCTTAGGACCAATTTTATACCCTCAGATGTTTGATAAATACAGGTCAAGGTGAATGAGAGAATTAATATTCATTTTAGAAATGAGAAATGGAAACACATGATTGAGTAGAATTACCTGCAGTAACAAGAGAGGTTTTTAAGATTTGCGCGGGAATTAAAGCTTGCATGCTGTTAGGACACGATGTAATAATGTGTCCTAACTGTATACATGTTGAATTCGTTGCTCTGTGATTTTCAGTTTCCCCTTGCAAACAGTATGGTATCTGGTGCTTTTGTATTGAAGGTGGACAAACTGAATTGTGGTGCTTTGTTATTTGGGAGCTGTTGACTCAAATCACAACACTCAGACGCTCGTCAATAAACGGCTCGCGGTGAGCCAAAAACACGATTTTCTCAGGTGGTGTGGACACAAGTCAAAGCCAAACATATCAATCACGGATGTGGATATTATCTACGCACCATTATGTCCTCTTTGAAAAACAAGCTAACACGCTGTGGTTAGTAAAATTGAGTGTCGGTGCCTTGTAGAGCCCTATCCTTCCTCGTTCTTCGTATGTGTGCGCGAATCACAGAGAGGAAAATAGAAATGGGGTGCCGGGGTAAATATGAGGCGCTGCTTCGCTCACGGGCAGTTAGGACAGGCTGCTACAGTGACAACAGTCATACGAATAAATATCAGTACTGGAATACCTTCATGAAACATGGCATGATAGGTGTAATAGCAAAGATATTATCTGTTATAGTGGGAAGTCTTAAACGTCCTGTTGTTTATTAGAAAATGTTCACTCTTCTTTTCAAATGATTATTCATTCCACAACCGTAAGCTGTGTTTGTAATTTACTTGGGGGACATAATTGCCGTTCCTCTGTCTTGGTTGATGGAGAGAAATCTGATATTGTTTCCTTTCCTGTTGAGGTCTTGGCATTTTATTAATTTTAGGATGGTTCAGAGCCTGGTAGCACAAAAAAAGTTATCCTTGAATGCCAGAGGCAACAGCCGGTTTGATGGAAGTGTGCTTCATACCTGACCTTGCAACCAACTGTGCTGTTGATTGGATCTTTTTTTTTTTTTTTGTTTAACCGTTATTGTCCTTCTGTCCATTTGTTCTCAGGTTAACGGGGTTCCAGCTGCCTTCACCCATAGTGAGTACAGGCTCCAGGATCACACTGTGGCTACTGTCAGACTATGCAGTCAGCGGGCAGGGATTTAAAGCTGTCTATGAAGGTAAGAACAATTCTATGGAATATTTCTCAGCCCCTCAAAAAGTATATCATAATTTTTCCTACAGCAAAATGTGAATGTGATTATTTATGGCTATACATTTTTTATGAAGTAATTGGGCTGTAAGTCACAGTTTGTGACTTGATTTCTTGCAAACATTCAGTCATTGATTTAAAAAAAAAAAAATCATCTTTCTTGTATCAGTTACTTATGACAACAATTTCAAATATGAGCCTCTCCTTTTGGTGATTCATTGCAGAATTTTAAAAGGCTTCAATGCTTATGAGCAAGGCTTTCAGATATCCAAACAAAAGGCAGAAAACAAAGCAAGAAGGATATAATATGGCTTGCACTGGGACTCATACTAGAGAACAAAATCAGCATTGTGCACTGAACCAAAAGATCATCAGACAGTTTCATATAATACCATTCTATCCAGCTTTGTTATCATCTCTTCCTTTCCTGGCCAAGACTGGACCTTTTTATCATGGTGACACGGAATGCTTTATGACCCATGACGGGATGATATTAATGATGGCACTCTTCAAACCCGTGCAGGATGAAAAGGGGGCTGAGGGGAGGAGGGAACACACGCAAGTGACTAATTAGGCTAATTACCTGACAGAAGTTTGTCAGGTTTTTCTTTTTTTTTTTAAGGGTTTGTCAGTGTGCGGTTGTGGCTCGGTGGAGCAACATCAAGTGACTCAGGAGGCCTGCAACCACATTGCGTGACAAGATAAAACAAAAGAGCAGAAAGACTGCTTTTTAAGTCCAATGGGAGGGAATGGGGGTGTTGGGGTTTCATTCTCACTAGTGGAAACAAAACTGTCAGACTTGTCTAGCTTCTGACCTTGGATGATGTGATTGCCACTTGGTACTAACGTGTTTGCAGAAACTTAAAAAAAGAAATTGGTAACCATGGTGATAAACAGCTTTCACTCTCTCTCATTTTTATTTCACACAGTCATACAATAACATGCACACTCTCAGAAAGCACCAGCTAAGTGAGTAATGTAAATCTCAAATCTCTTTGTGACTTTGGTACCACGGTGTCTTGTTCAGGAGTATCAACCCTGTCCCTCACCAGGGGAAATGAGTGCAGACCCGTAATTGCCTGTCACCCACCTCACATGACACAAGCGAGACCAACTGCACTGACCCGTGTCACAGGGGAAAAAGCTCCGCTTTGCTGACACATGGTGCTGCCCTGTGGGTTAGAATGAATTTTAATTAGAGAGTGAGAACTACAGGAGGAATTCAAATCACAGCATCAGTTCACTGTAACTAAATGAATGGGAAGACCACCCACTGTTGGCCTTTATTACACAGAATATACCCATATTTGAACCTGGCACAGTATTCCTTATTTCTCAGTGGACTCCAAAGAAACATGTAATTCAGACATTTTTTTGCAATAATTGTAATGCTTGAACCATACTGTAAAAACAGGAATGTAAGTAGCACTGGTATATAAGATGCAGTCTGCTTTCGGGGGTCTTCAAGAGGGAGAAAAAGGTTTAAACTGTCTTCCTGCATAATGACGCTCTATTGATTTTAGCTAAGTCAACAAAGTGCACTTTCTATGCAACTGTGTAGCTCTTTTTAGTACCATCTGTTTTCACCATGTGTAGTTTGAACTCCTGCTAGCTACTGGTACGGCAGTCGAGCTCTGAGCCCGTGGTAACGTTGATAGTTGTGGAGTACAGGCCCACATTCTGCGAGTCGTGCTGCCCACCTCAGCTGGTCTCTTGTTTTCTTTAATTGAGGAGTCTTTTCAGTCAAGCCAGAACTCCACAAGGTTTATTTACTTATCAGTATACCACTGTTTCTTCTTATGCAGGATTATGAATCATGAGGGAGAAAAGCTGTTAAAAAGTTGTGCTGCCAGCCTGGTCCATGTCGCTTTGTATCCCAGTATGGTCCAAGCAGTGAAGTGGCCGCTTGCAATACACAATAAATTGGGGAACATTTTTAATAGCATCAAGTCATGCGCAGTGGGGGATGGCGGCGTCTGTAGTAATGCAGCACGTCTCATTTAATACAAGTATATTGGTCATACCAGTATATAGGACGGGCACAAATGTTCTGATGAAAAATAGGAATTACATTTGTGTCTTAAATGCAATTTTAGGATGTTTAAAACTATAAAAGACAATTGGAACTCTAAGTTTTAAGTTTGCCCATTTCAATGGCACAATTTCTTCTTTTTTTGTCATTTGGCAATCCATACCTGCATTCAGGATGTTGTGAAGTTGCAAATGCCTTTTCTACTATTGAACTTCCCAGAAAGCTGAGCAACACCAGAACATTGTCACAGCAGCTGACACACTGCTTTGTGCTGCTCTGGAAGTCCGTTTGACTATAATCCACTGGAACAAAGCCTCTGCTTTGATTTGATAGTTCACACTTAGTAAATAGTGCACAATGGTCAACAGGAATCCCACTTGAAAGAAGGCAATGACCAAAGGTAACCAGTGAGCTCACTGTGTATCATCTCAAGTTAACCGTTGTCATTATGAATGTGCTCATAGAGAATCAATCAATCAATTGTTTTTCAATTAAGTTGTTTATTTGAAACAATATGAAGCCACTCACTACCAAATCTATTGGCACATATCCAGTCTTTTTCCTCTGATATGACTCCACAAGTCAACCTTTTAGCTGTAAAATGTGATGGACACCCACAGCACTACATGCATAATGGAGTTCTACATAATCTCCTTTTATTGTCTGACAGAAAGCGCTTTGTGTAACCGTGCGACAATAGCTCAACCTCAATATAGATACAAACCTTAATGGAGCAAGTTATGACATAACCAGTTGAAGAATGTGTTTATTTGTGTGTGGCTTTTTCTTTGAATGATTTTCTATATTCATGTCTTCTGGTTGCACCATTCCTTGACCTATAAAGTGTTATTCCTTTTTTCCCCTCACAAAACAGACCACATTTAAATGCAGAGTTGTTTTCCTCAGGAAAGGTAGTCTTGTGTGGAGAGTTTAGAGCTAAAGAGTTAAAGCAAAGAAGATTTGCAAAGGGTATTTGTCAGTTTATTCATGTCTCTAGTGGATTCATAAAAACTCTGGTGTTGTCTTTTCTCAATCCTATATTCCAAGAGGAAACATTAGTGGTCATTTGTTTTTGACCCCTGTTTTAAAAAAGGACAAAATAATATATGAATAGATGTCACTTATTTTTGCTAATGCTTTATGTGTGACTGATAGTTCAGGACATCACTTGTCATATTCACACTAGAACCATTTTCCTCTGAGGTCACACTCGGGGTAGAATAAATTAAATGCTGTATTTTATCCAGTGGGACATTGAGATATTTAAACTCAGAACAACAAACTTGATCACCCTTATGCTACTGAATTTGAGCTAAAATTACTATTGGGTAGAAATTAGAACCTCTGCTTTCGTTTTTGTGATATTATTAAATGGTCATAGTAGGAAGTAGAAAAAAAAGTCATGTTGGCTGTTGTCCAACAGTAAGTAATGAGTTTTCAAAATACGGTATCTGAAGAATCTCTGTGAAGTGTCTTTTCAGTTTGTGATTAGTTGAGGCACAGGGAAACAGTGGCAAGCTGTGTGATTGTGGTAATTTGTCTTTTCTTAAGCTTAACTCAAACAAATGACATCTGTCATTCTTAATGTTGTTGTAATGGAGTAGTTACTGAGCTATTACGGGGGAGCATCAATTAACTCCTACGCGCACCTCTTGTGTATACATTTGTTTGTTTGACTTGGTAGCTCTCAGTTTAGAAGTCACTGAGTATGAGTGTTTGACTTTTACATACAGCATCCCTCATGTTCTTCAAATAGGATAAATGTCTTTTTTTTTTCTCAGCCTGCATGATTGGCTTCCCTCAGCATGGCTTTATGGCAGTTAAACCTCAGCACTCTACAGCCTCTTTTTATTAGGACCGTGCTAACCATCCGCCATTTTGGTGCGAGCCCATCTATCGTCTATATTAGATATCTGTTCTGTTTTAGCCCACATTGCAATAAGCCTAAGTGCTGCACAGTCCATCTCCTTAACACACTGCGTAATGGCCGAGACCACTCTGAAATCTCTCCCCTTTCGTCACCATGGCAACCGCAAGACTCCTTTTTTTTTCCCATCTTATTCTTCCCTTTCTCTTGATAAAATCTCTGTTCATGCTTAATCTATAGAAGAGGGCTAACAGAGGCAAAAAGAAATAGGAACATTTTCTGAAAGTATCTTAACGTCTGACTGCATTTCTTGTGCTCCATCACTGCCTGTATTCTCTCCATCTTTATATATCTTCACTTCTCACCCCTGTCTGCTCAATTTTAAATCTCACCTTGTACCCTATTTAGCTACCTTCACTGTATTTTCTTTTTTGAAATGTTCTTTTTATTAGGAAAAGCACAGTATGATTTACATTGCACATAACCGTCATTACTTGACAGACTTCCTTGATCCTCATTAGTTATTTATATTTATTAGTTATTTGACCATTGTTTGTCCCCCATTCCGCCAGGACTTGGGAAAGACTGGTGCGGAAAGTCTGAGTGATTTTGTCCATAATGTTTTCCCAAAATTTTCTTTTTCTTATAAATTGTTCATTTACTGCAACATGTGAACCACAGAACTGGGGAGCTCACTGTTTCTGAATCAAGCAAAAAGAAAAACAAGATGTAGAGGGTAGGTTAAAATCAGATAAAGTCCAATCTTACAGGTTTTACGTACTCAGTCCATTTAGACCATAATATATAAAACTTTTCTTGTTGTACTCTGAAAATGTTAACTTTTCCATGACGTAGATCCCATGTGTAATTTCCATCCATTCCTTAATGGTGGGTGGGTCTACTTTTAACCATTTTCTCGTTATGGCTTTTTTACTTGCTGCCAATAGTATACCGAGTAATTTTATGTCAGTCATGCTACAATTTTCAGACAATAAATCACCCAGATACACAGTTTCACACTTCAAAGGAATGTTTAAGCTAAACACATTACTAATATGTTGATGAATTT